GCCATACGTTGTTCCTCTCAAATTGATGGAGTTCATCTTGCATAGAAGTAATCTAGTCAGCATATTTTAATGTTTCCTTGATATTTTTGGGCTCAACTTGAGAGAGAAAGGTTGAGAAGGCAAGTGAGTTTCTCGACTTCGATCTAGTTTGAATCCCTGAGTTGAGAGGAGTGATCACATTTTGAAGAGGATGTGAGCTTTTGTGCTTCCAGTTAGGCACCCGAATCTCATTGTGAGAGGGTCCGGGTACTTCTGAATGTGACCCATGGTTGATGTGAGTCCCGCTTCTCAGTTCAACATATGGGGTTCCTTGCACAGCATCAGCAACTATGTTTTCAACTTCAGTTGTTGTGATCAAGGAACCAGGTTCCTCTACATCACCTGGAGATATCGCTGCATCATCATCATTTGATTTCTTGACGTAGCTCATCATGTTAGCCTTTCCATTTGCCATGTCAATGACTTCACCAAGGACTGTTGACTGCTCTCCGTCTTGATCAATCTTATCATGTGAATCTTTCCCATGTAGGTGATATGATTCATCAAAGATCACATGTATGCTTTGCTCAACATATTGAGTTCTTTTGTTGTAGACTTTGTATGCTTTGCTTTGTGATGAATAGCCCAGAAAGATTCCTTCATCACTTTTGGCATCAAATTTTCCAAGAGCTTCCTTACCATTGTTGAGAACAAAACATTTGCAACCAAATGTTCTCAAATGTGTTAGTTTGGGTTTCCTTCCGTTCAACAGTTCATATGGAGTCTTGTTCAGGAGGGACCTGATCATGCACTTGTTCACCAAATAGCATGCAGTGTTAACTACTTCTGCCCAAAAGTTTTTAGCCATGCCACTGTCAATCAGCATTGTCCTCTCCATGTCTTCAAGAGTCCTATTTTTTCTTTCTACAACACCATTGTGTTAAGGTGTTCTTGGAGCTGAGAAATTATGACTTATGCCATTTTCAACATAGAATTTTTCAAATTTTGCATTATCAAATTTTGTGCCGTGATCAGATCTTATACACACAACATTATGGCTCACCTTCACTTGGATCTTCTTCACAAAAGCAACAAACACCGGAAAAGTTTCATCCTTGGTTTTGAGGAACAAGGTCCAGGTGAGTCTAGAGTAGTCATCCACTATAACAAAAATATACTTCTTTCCTCCTCTACTCGGCACCCTCATAGGTCCACATAGATCCATATGGATAAGATCAAGTGGCCTTGAGGTGCTAACTTCATTTTTGGGCTTGAAAGAAGTCCTGACTTGTTTTCCTCTTGAGCATGCATCACACACCTTGTGATTTTTGAAACTTGACATCGGCAGACCACGAACCAGGTCCTTCCTGACCAATTTGTTCAGCAAAGTAAAGCTTGCATGACCCAATCTTCTGTGCCATAGTTCAGCATCATCATCAACAACACTTAGACACGTGAGATCCCCATTTTGCAGGGACTCAAAATCAGCAACATAAATGTTCTTGTATCTTCTTGCCATTAGGACCACTTCACCAGTCACAAGATTTGTGACTGTGTAGACTTTTGACACAAATTCAACTTTGTTTTCTTTGTCGCATATTTGGGAAATACTCAGTAGACTATATTTCAATCTATTCACGTAGTACACATTTTCAATTGAGTGAGTGAGTGATTTTTCAATTCTTCCTACTCCGAGAATGTATCCCTTTTTGCCATTGCCAAAGGACACACTCCCTCCTTACAGGACTTTGAGTGAAAGGAAATCATCGAGGCTTCCAGTCATGTGCTTAGAATAGCCACTATCCATGTACCATTTTTGGCTGTTTCCTTTCACTGCTCCCTGCTCAAGAAAATCAAAGATTAGACTTAGGAACCCAAACAAGTTTGGGTCCCTTATAGTGAGGAAAGGGTCGAATTAAACTTCTTTTTGTCCAGGCAGGCAATATACATTTTTTAACGGAGGGACCAGGTTCCTTAGCAGTAATTACTTTTTCAACAAACACTTTATTTTTCTGTTGGGACTGAATTCTAGCCTTACAATTTTCTTTAAAGTGACCAGTGTTTCCACAGTGAGTGCAAAGCCAGTTATTATGGACAGTAACATACTTGCTATGTGGATTGTATGGAGTCTTTTCCCTTTGGAACCCGACTCCCTGCCTGTTCTTACCATTGCTTGTATACATGGCAACAATTGTATCAGAGGACCAGGTCCACTTTAGAGATTTTTCGAGGTCATTTTTAGCTCTGCCTAGATCTTTTTGAAGCTGTCTGTTTCATTCAAGTTCAGCACACAAACTAGATTTCACAGATTATAGTTTATTTGCAAGCTTAATGTGTGCCTCACTTGCAACTTCCTTCCCCTTTTGGACAGTCCCAGAACTGTTTTCCCTTTTTAATTCCTCTATTATTTCTTTTAGGTCCATGATGACTATTAACAAGTCATCTCTCTCATTCTCTATGTTTTCAACCTTTTTCATTAGAACACTTTTTTCTTTCACTAGATTCTCGATGGTTTCTTTTAGGTCGGCCCCTACAACTACCAAATTATCTCTTTCATTTTCTACCTCTCCTAACTCTATAGTTAAGGAATTTTTATCATTTATAAGATTATGATAAGCGTAAATTAAAACATTTCCCAAGGATATGAGCTTTTTATGAGAGTAAGACTTCAGATTTCTCTAAACGTCTAGAAAGTTTAGCTCATCGTCATTATTATCTTCATCATTGTCAGATTTTTCCATGAGGGAAAAATGGAATCATAATTAGCTCCTTCACTTTCTATTACCATCATGGAGGTGTCACCTTGTGCATCATCTTCTCCAGATTCGCTAGAAGAGTCTCCCCATGCAGCAAGAGTTTGTTTCACAGCATTATCAACAACTTCTTTTCTTTTAAATCTTTTGTCAGGAATCGGGTTCCTCTTGGATGCTTTGTCTATGTTGTGCTTGTACTGGTCTTGCTTGAGTAGAGGGCAATCATTGATGAAATGTCCTGGCTTCCTACACTTATGACATAAGTCATATCCTCTTGGCTTTCTGGAGCTGCCATTCTTTGGAATACCTCCATTTCTGCGGACCATCTTCTGAAATCTCTTTGTCAAGTAAGCCATATCAGCATCCTTACCACTTAATTCATTGTTGTCTGTCTTGAAGACCATGTTCTTCTCCCTTTTGGGCTCTCTTCTCTCATGATCCTTTTTCTTCTTCATTTCATAAGTTTTCAAATTACCAATGAGTTCATCAGTGGTTAGTTTTTGTAGATCCTTTGCCCATGTGATAGCATTTACTTTGCTTTCCTAGGAACTAGGTAATACGCTGAGTATTTTCCTGAAAAATTTGTTCCTTGGAATGATTTCTCCTAGGGAATGGAGCTCATTGATGATAGAGGTGAAGCGAGTGTGCATGTCCTAAATGGACTCATCGTCCTTCGTCCTGAAGATTTCATACTCAGTGGTTAGCATATCATTCTTCGACTGCTTGACTTGAGTTGTCCCTTCGTGTTCTATTTGGAGAGCTTCCCAGATCTCCTTGGCATATTGACACGCCGAAATCCTGTTGTATTCATCTGGCCCAATGCCACAGACGAGGATTTTCTTTGCTCAAAAGTTCTTTTCTATAGCCTTGCGGTCAACATCGCTATATTCCTTCCTAGGCTTGGGAATTGTCACTGTTGGTTCTCCAATGGTTTTCATCGGAACGAAGGGACCATCGCAGATAACATCCCAGAGCTCTGAATCTTCAGCCGTGATAAAATTATGCATCTTTGTCTTCCACCATCCATAGTCTTGGCCATTAAATCTTGGTGGTCTGTAGGTAGATTCACCTTCTTCAAAGTTTGGTGGAGTAGCCATGAGGATTCTTTCTAGGTGTTAGCCTGATAGAAAGAACCTGCTCTGATACTAATTGATAGAAACTAAGGGTCTACCAAACTTATATAGAGAATCAGGTTCTCTATTAGTTCCCACAGAACACACAATTGTAAGTAAATGACACAATAGAGTTTTACATGAAAAACTCCCAACTCACGGGATAAAAAATCACGACCTATCCTTGTACGATTTCAACTTCACTACTGAGCAAACTTTCAGATTATAAACTATTGTAACCTAGGAATTAACCTCTTAATACCTCGCTAACTTGTAATAACTCTATTACAAGCCCCTTTGTAATGACTCTATTACAAAGCTTACAACTCGATTAACTCTAGGCAAGACACAAACTCGTGGTTTATGATTTTACAAAGGTTTCCTACGCAATGCTTCTACTTAAGCTAAGTAAGAATTACAAGTAAATCAATATAACAAATATGATAGACAACTAAGGATATATGATGACTCAATGAAGGAAACCGATCCTATGTTATGTTGCTCTTTGTTCTTGACGCCTTTGATATCACTTGCAGGTTGGCAATGCACTTGAGAGAAAGCTTGATCGATTCTAAGTGTGCAAGTGTATTGTTTTTTGCTTTGCTTCATGTAATATTACATAAATGACATCACTTGGATGATGCAAGCATTTTTGGTACAAAGGCATTCCCTATAAAGTGACTGCTCCACTGTTTGCACTATTGCGTGTGTGCAGAGGAACAGTTGCAGTCACTTTATAGCAGTGGGGAGTTGACTGATAGTGTCAGCGATGGAACTGATGTCGATCTGTTCTCTCTGTTGTTTCTTGGACTCTGAAAGTTAGAGCATGTCCCAGACTTGAGACTTGTTGATCTTTGAGGACTCAGAGGATGTGGAACAGGTTCCTCATATGGTTCTNGAGAGAGAGAGAGAGAGAGAGAGAGAGAAAAGGGCCAGTGGAACCGAGGCCCTTGATTTTTATTATTCATTCTGTCAATTGTTTATTACAAATGAACTATTTATATTTACAGTAGAAAATACAGATTGGGCCGGGTCAACAATATTAGACTAGCAACTTTATATGGCCAGCCATTTTCCCTTATTGATACTTAAGTTAACACCCTCTTAAGATGGAGGGTGAACACACACCAAGCTTGCCAAGAATATTATGATGAAGTTATCCATACAAAGCCTTTGTCATGATGTCAGCCAACTGATTGGCACTGGAAACAAATTGCAAAGAAATTAGTCCAAAATTCAAGAATTCACGAACATAATGGTAGTCAATTTCAATATGCTTAGTACGTTCATGGAAAATTGGATTTTTGGCAATATGAAGAGCAGCCTGACTGTCACAATAAATTGGAACAGGACTGGTAATAGGAAGGACAAGATCCCAATAAGTCTAATCAACCAAGACATCTCAGCAGCAACCTTCCTTAGTGCCATGTACTCAGCTTTAGCTAAGGATAAAGAAATGGTGGGTTGATTCTTACTTTTCCATGAAATAGGACTGCCACCAAGAGTCACATAAAACACAGTAACACACTTGTGAGAGATGGCACAAGAGGCCCAATCAGAATAGCCAGTAAGAGAAAAATTTGAAGAATTGGAGAGAAGAACACCCTGAGAAGGATCATTCATGAGATATCTGAGAACATGTAGGCCAGCCAGTATGTGAGGGACTTGCGGCTACTAAAGGAATTAACTCAGGTGCTGGACAGAGAAAGAGATATCAGGCCTAGTATGCTGCAAAAAATTGAGCTTCCCAATAAGTCGTCTGTAGAGACTGGGATCAGGAAGAGAATCTCTCATGTCCAAAGTGAGCTTAACATAAGGATCTAGTGGAGTCACAACTGGAGAGAAATGCTGGCAGTTAAACTCGGTGAGGAGATCAGTTGTGTACTTATGCTGGCTTATGAGATAACCTTGAGGATGAACAGTGATTTCCAACCTCAAGAAGTAATGTACTGACCCCAAATCCTTAATCTTAAATTGATCATCCAAAAATGATTTCAAGGAGTTCATTTCAGTGAGGTCATCTCCACCAAAAGAATGTCATCAACATAAACAACCAGAACTACTTGAGAACTAGAAGAAGACTTGGTGAAGAGAGAGTAATCATTCAGACTTGAAATGTAGCCTCTAGAGAGCAAGGCTTCAGACAGTTTTGAAAACCACTGTCTGGAGGCTTGCCGAAGGCCATATAATGACTTCTTGAGTTTGCAAACCAATGGAATGGAAGAAAAAGATGAAGGAGTAATATCAAGACCTAGAGGTATTTTCATGTAAACCTCCTCATGAAGATCACTATGGAGGAAAGCATTGTTAACATCCAACTGGAACACAGTCCATCCTCTCTTGATGTCAAGGGTCAGCAGGCATTTGATGGTGGTGAGCATGATAATAGTGGAAAATGTCTCAGTAAAATCAATGCCTTCCCTCTGAGTATCACCTCTAATAACCAACCTGACCTTGTATCTTTCAACAGACCAATCTGTCCTTTGTTTGATCTTATAAACCCACTTACAAGGAATAACCTTTTTTATGAGGAGGAAGAGGAACAATGTACCAAGTGTGATTTGCTTCAAGAGAATTAAATTCCTTTAGTATAGCCTCCTGCCAGGCAGGATGAGAAGCAGCATGCTGGTAGAATTGAGGCTTATGCATATGTGCTTCACTAGACAGAACCTTGGAGGGGGTAGAAGTAGAAGGATTGGAGTTGGCAGAAGAACATATATAGTCTTTGAGATAAGTAGGTTGTGTAACAATCCTGATGGATTTTCTTAAAAGAAGGGAAACAGGTATAAGAGTAGAAGAACAAGTAGGGGAAGGAGGAGGGTAGGTGGGGTAGAGGTTGAAAGGGGTATTGTAGTTGAAGGAGGAATGGCAGGAGACGTAGCATGATAAAAAGGGATGAGAGGTTGGGAGGATGGAACTTCCACAAATGGTAAAGGTAAATAAGTGGAAAGAGAAGGTGAGGAAGGAAGAAGAAGAGTAAGGAAAAATGTGTTCATATAATAATACATCCCTAGAATAGGACATAGAGGAATTGGACATATTCAACAACTTATAACCCTTCTTACCATAAGGGTAGCCTAGGAAGACACAAGAAATAGCTCTAGATTGAAACTTATCCCTTCCAACCTTAGGAGAATTGGAAAAACACATACAACCAAAAGACTTCAAGTGGTCATAAGAGGGTGCATATCCATGCAGCTTCTCATAAGGAGATACTTTGAGCAAAATAGGTGAAGGCATCTTATTTATAAGGTAAGTGGCAGTCAAAACACAGTTACCCCAAAGTTTCAGTGGTAAGTTAGATTAAAACAAAAGGGCTCTTGAGACCTCTAGTAAATGTTTGTGTTTTCTCTCCACAACACTATTTTGTTGTGGAGTATGCGGAATGGTGGTTTGGTGTAATATACCTTGAGAAGCAAAGAAAGTGGTTGCTTCAGCACTACTGTCGAGTTCAAAAGCATTGTCTGAACTGAAAGTCTGTACTAAAGAATTAAAATGTACTTTGACCATAGAAGTGAAAGCTTTTAAGATAGATAAGGCATTGCTTTTAGAATAAACAAGATGAGTCCAAGTGACTATAGTGTAATAATCAACTAAAGTGAGGAAATATCTGAATCCATTATAAGTTTTAGTATTATATGGGTCCCAAATGTCAATGTGAACTAGCTGAAAAGGTGTAGTGGAATGAGTTGTGCTATCATGAAAAGGCCGCCTTTGTTGTCTAGCCATAGGACATATTGGACATATAAAGTTTGTTAGGTTTTAGTTTTAGTGATAAAAAAATAATATAATTGCTTTTAGTGTAGGGACTCAAGGAAATCAACCAAGATCGAAGTGCACAAAGAGAAACAATAAAAGCTAAAGGAAGAAATCAGTCAAAGATTGATTGAAGCATTCAAAAGGAAAAGAAGCATTGACGATACAGCGAGATAATCAATCTGAGACTGATTGAAGAGTTAAAAAGGAAAAGAAGCATTAAAGATCTGGCAAGATAATCAATCAGTAGCTATTACTGGAAGGACCCAGAATTAAGGAGCAAATCTGGCGCTATCAAGACTAACAAATGGAAAGTTGTCAAAGTCCACACATAAAGGAAGAGTAACGGGAAATTAACCTTATTCTTAGAAAGAATCAATTTCTTTCCAAGGATCAAATCTCTTGGGTTGGAAAATCTCTTCAGTAACGGTCTCCTACAAGGTATTTATATGCAACCTTAAGTCTTAGAGAGATATACTTTGATCAAACCAATTACCCTCTCTTTGTTCTACTTCAAACAAACATTGTATCTCTACTAGATCTGTTGTGTAACAAGTTAGAGAAGAAAGAAAGAAAAATACCGGTGAGGCATTGTATCAAGAAAAGACGAGTGACATAGAAACTGAGCTGTTGGTGTAAACTACACCATTCACTTTGTATCAAGAAACTCATTCACTGAAAGAGAACTCCCTTGCAACCCAAGGGGACTGGACTAGGATTCACATTGAATCTGAACCAGTAGAAAAATTTTGGCGTCTTTAATTCCTGCACTTTACTTCTATATTTTAATTCTGCACTTCTTATTATATCGCTATTAAATCTAGTCTACTAATTGAAAAACCAGTCAACTTATAATAATTAATTTTAAAATAAGCAATTCACCCCTCTCTTGTACTTTCAATTGGTATCAGAGCAAGACTCATATTTTTCTTTTGCTTAACAGCTTCTGAGAAAAGATCATGTCTAATCAAGTTATTGTGGGAGCACTCTTCTAAGAAGGAACATCGCAAGTAAGGCCACCATATTTCAATGGACAACATTTCTCTCGCTGGAAAATGCGTATGGAAATATACACAAAGTCTTATGATATCAAGGTCTAGCGAATTATCAAAAAGGGGAACTATCCTTTGCCGGCTACTACTCAACCACCTGCTAACCCTGAAGATATAGATGAATATACTGATGAACAAATGGCAGATGTGCAAGTTAATGCTAAAGCAAGGAATCTTCTTTATAATTCTATAAGTAGTGAGGAATATGAGAAAATATCCAGTTGCGATACAGCCAAAGAGATATGGGATAAGCTTGAAGTTACTTATAAAGGAACCAGTAAAGTGAAAGAAACCCATATCAACATGTTGGTTCATGACTACGAATTCTTCCAGATGAAAGAAGGAGAATCCATTGAAGAGATGTTTGCCACATTTAGCAAAATCATTAGCAATCTAAAAGCTTTTGGCAAACCATACTCAAGTGGTGATCAAGTTAGGAAACTTTTGAGAAGTCTACCCACTACTTGGCAGACAAAAGTAGTTACCCTTGAATCACAGGATTTGAACAAATTATCATACGATGAACTTCGAGGAGAACTTATAGCCTTTGAGAAAACTCATATCAAGAAAGCAAACCAAGAAGAAAAGAAGAAAATAGTTGCTTTCAAGGCTACAACTGAAAGAGAAGACAATGATATTGATGACGACCCTGAATCTCTTCAAGAAGAAATTGCCATGGTATCAAGGAACATGGATGGTTTAATGAGGAGATACAAGAATACAAGAAGAGGCAGGATACCACCCTGGCGAACTAGGCAATATAATGAACAAGACAAAAATGATGGCAAATGTTATGAGTGTGGAAGATTTGGGCATGTTCAAGCTGAGTGTCCTGATCTTAAAAGAAAGGTTTCCAGAGGTTTTAACAAGAACAAATAATTTGGAAGTTAGAGTGATGAAGACAGTTCAGAACAAGAGATAGCAAATCTATATTTCATGACAATTCTAGAAAATGACATGAACAAACTCTCAGGGTGCTGGACAGATGAGGACACTTCAGATGACAAATGCAAAGATGACAATGAGAACTGTTTCATGGAGCGAGGTGAAACAAGCGAGGTAAGATCTTATAACTATGAAAGATGTAATGAATTGCAGGATATTGTTGACCTTACTTTGAAAGAGTCAAAAAATGATGAATGAACTAAAGAGACTCAACAAAGAAGTAAAAGACTGGAAACTCAAGCTTGAAGTATGCTAAATTGAAAAATAAGTACTTCAAGATGAGTTTCAGAAATTGCAAATGCAACTCAATGGCATGTGCAAATACACCACTCATAGTTCTGTCAAGTCAAACCAGGCGACTTACAAGTCAACTGGAGAAGGACCAGCCAGAACATAGTCCACTAGTACTAACACAAATGAAAGATCCAAAAATGGATCAGGACTTACGTGTCACTACTGTAACAAAAGTGGACATAAATATTCTTTTTGTCGATTTCGTAAATCAAATGTCTCAGGATGGATTTGGAAACCCAAAACCAATCCTGAGTCCAATCATACTAACCAACAAGGACCCAAGCAAGCTTGTATACCTAAAAGGAAGTGATAATTATGTTTTGCAGGAACACCACAGAAGAAGTAGCAAAGGAAAATGGTACTTAGATAGTGCGTGTTCCAGTCACATGATAGGTGACAAAAACATGTTTAAAGAAGTTACAAAAATAGATGGAGGAAGTGTCAAATTTGGTGATGACTCAAAAGGAAAAATAGTCGGTATCGAAACAGTTCCTTTTAATAAAAACTGTGATATCACCGAGGTTTATCTTGTTGATGGACTTAACTACAGTCTTCTGAGTATAAGTCAGCTATGCGACTCAGGGTATGAAGTAAAGTTCAAGAAAACAGGTTGTGCTATTGAAGATGAGACAGGTAAAATAATCCTCCCAAGTAAAAGGTATGGAAATGTCTATATTCTTGATGGTTTTGAAAATATAGATGGTCATATTTGTTAAACATCCATATCTGATGATCCATGGTTATGGCATAAGAAACTTGGTCATGCAAGCATGCATCTGATAGAGAAACTTTCCAAGCATGATTTAGTTATTGGTTTACCTAAACTCAATTTCTCTAGAAATCATGTATGTGATGCATGTCAGATTGGTAAACAAACTAGAAATTCTTTCAAAAACAACGATATTGTATCTACTTCAAAGCCCTTGCAATTGCTTCATATGGACTTATTTGAACCCACTA